TAAGGCATGGACCACTGGTCCAAGCCACCATCAAAATCAAGAAGGAAATTACCTTATCAGACTTGCGTGGTGCAATCACCGCACGCAAGTATCATGAATGCTCATGCAGCCTAATCATACTATCAATCCCGTTCCCTTGCATCAGTGAATCAGCCTCATTCTCAAGTCAAACCTTTCATTAGGTTTGGCCTCATGCATCATCATGATCGATCCTCAATCTTAGACCCGACCCCATTGCTAGGTGTGGTCTAGCAGTCCAAGTCTCAATCCTGGCCTGCACATCTCATCATTACTGGATCAGTCCATCTCATCCATACTGCCCATCAGTACAGCATAACCCTCGTCGATATCTCAGCCACGGGCTGCTATGGGACCAATCATCGCATCCAGGATCATCCAGGCCATCTCGACCGAAGGCTGCCTCACAAGGGGTGAACATACCAAACCCCTTTTTTTTTGTCTGCCGGCTTTGTGCTGCTCACTGTCGGGTCATACCAAACCCCGTTATCTTTGTCTGGCTGTAGGGTACCTGCAAAACAGATGTCAAGTCATGCCTAAAAAAAAAGACGAGAAAAAGGATCTCTCCTAAAGACCCTCGCCGACACCCCTTCCTCACTCACTCTCAGAGTCTTACCTTTCGGCCTTCCGAGAGTGCCCCCGCTCGCCCTAGTTGGCCCCTCCGCTGACTCAACCCGATAAGCAGAGCAAAGTCAGTCCTGATTCCCAGTCATGGCGGTCCGACCACCCTCTGAGCCCTTGCTCAGAACAGCTCACGGGGAGCCGCACACCCCTTCATGAACCCCTCACTCCGACGAGTGCAGACCCATGGCGCGGAAGTTCTTTAGTCGACTTCAGAACCTCAGTCTACTCGCTCGATTTCTTTCTAACGCCCTGCTCTTGCTACTGTGCGGGGAGCCAACCAACACCCAACCAGACATTGCTGGTGAGTCAGAGCGAGTCCACAATTAAGCTTTGCAACAGTGGGCTAGGAGGCCATAATGGCCCTGTTGCCAGCTGGGATGTGGATACCTGGCTTGGCCCGATGCCAAGGGAAAGCCCCTGGAGACACTGCTCCTGAGAGACACCCCGATCAGAGTGATAGTAGGAGTCCAACACCTTGATCAGCCAAATGTCGGATTTAGACTGGGAGAGGCTCAGGATGCCTCCTTCCTTTCTAGCAGGCGGACCAGATCACCATACGATGACCTNCACCTTGATCAGCCAAATGTCGGATTTAGACTGGGAGAGGCTCAGGATGCCTCCTTCCTTTCTAGCAGGCGGACCAGATCACCATACGATGACCTGAGGAACGGCTAGCCACCCTAGGGTCCGGAGTTATCTGCCACTATGGCTCAGACACCCCGCTGACCCAGCTAGCCTGTGGACCTTATGAGAACCTGCTTTAGGGAATTATCTCTTGCTCAAGAGGCGCATTTGAAAACTCTCCGCCTCTTCATGAAGGACGCAAGTGCTGACACCGCAGGGGACGCTACTGTGGATAGACTCTCGCCGGGGAACCATTGCGAGAGCCCGACGGCTGCAGTGGGAACACTCCTTCCAGCGTGAAGAATGCAGCGAGCCTCAATCCGCTGCGATGCTAAGTGATCTTTGCCCGATCACATAATCGGATATATCACTCCATCGATTATGACACATGACTGATTACCTATCTTTTTAGAGTTTGGTAGCGTTTAGCCGTGAAGGCCCATCTGGAGAGGAACCCCATCTCGGCGATGCTGAGTCCCTTGCCAAGGGAACACTTCACTAGGCTAAATGTCACCCTCTTTCAGAGACAGCTAATCAATTTGTGCCAGATGATTCTAGGCAATCCTCCTTACGCAGTCGTACTAGAAGGTTGCCCCATCAACTGAGCGCTAACTTATGAGAGGAAGAAAACAGAGTTTACTTTATCCCACAGCCATTCATTTCATAAATGTCATTCAGACTAAATAAATACAATAAGAGGCAAGAACTGAAATCCCATAAACAGGCTCCCAATCCCTCAGGCATGTCCTAGGACTGACACATGACAAGCCAGATACAATGCAATGAACTGAAATTTTTAAAAGTTTAACTCACAATCATACAAAACTGGGGCCAATCTGGGTCTGACAGACACATAAGTCCACCAATGAGCCGAGTCATCATAGGCTGCTCGTATCCAGCTCCGGCATCCGAAATCATACCATGATCATAGCAACCGACTGTTGGCTGCCGCTGGCGGCACACGGGCCATGTCTCAGCACATAATCATCATCGATGGTTGGCTGCTCACTGGCCACGTCCCAACTCATAATCATCATCGATAGTTAGCGGCTCACTGGCCACGTCCCGTGCAAATAATTATCATCATCTGTAGCTGGCGGCAACACTGCCCACATCCCAGCTCATAATCATCGATCGCTGGCGGCTCATTGGCCACATCCCAGCCAATAATCATCATCATCTGTAGCTGGNTCATCATCTGTAGCTGGCGGCAACACTGTCCACATCCCAGCTCATAATCATCGATAGCTGGCGGCTCACTGACCACATCCCAGCAAATAATCATCTGAAGCTGGCGGCACTTTCACCTCGTCCCAACAAATGCTGAGGGCACACTGGCCACTTCTCAGCATGTAATCATCTGAAGTTGGTGGCACTCTCACCACGTCCCAATAAATGCTGAGGGCTCACTGTCCACGTCTCAGCATGTCTAGGCTGATGGTAGACGGCTCTCGGGCCTCGCCTCATCGCTCTGCCCGAACTCGGAATCAAATCTGCATCTCTAAGTATGAATTTTCGGAGCCGGGAGCCGGATACTATACTATGGGATCTCGTACCATCCATCTCTGCTAACTCATAGGCCTTGCCTTCAACCTCTCGGATGATCCTGAATGGTCCCATCCACCTGGTCTCCAATCTTTTGGTCCACTGTGTCTCGAGAGATGTATCATGCAGAAGTACAATATCTCCTACCTGAAGTCGTTCCTTCCTGATGTACCTCTTGCTGTTCCACCGTGTCTGATCAGATAATCTGTTGTCTGACATCCTCTTGGTGGCCTCAATTATGGCCTCATCCACTTCCTTAATCTGCCTGATCCTCAGCCTCAGTAACTCCTCTGTGGAGTACGACTCTCTCTGTGCCTCATGGGTCCAGGTCTCAACGAGGTTCTCAATGGGAGAAGTAGCATATCTGCCATACCAGAGTGTAATGGGCGCATAACCTGTAGTCCGTTTGACAGTCACATTGTCAGCATAGACAACCGCCCTCAAGAAACATGGCCAGTTCCTGGAGTCACCTTGGCACCATTTCGATATAGCATCCTTTAGTGTCATGTGGCCTCTTTCCACTGGTGCATTAGCCTGAGGATGATATGGTGTCACAAATCTGATCCTGACTCCAAGTCTGAACATAAGCCTCCTGACCATCTCGTTCTTGAACTCTGATCCCTGATCAGCCACAAACTCACGTATGAAGGGGTACCTTAGATAGATTTCCTCGATCCAATCTGCCACTGTCTTTGCAGTTTTCTTACGGATGGCTTTNTGATCAGCCACAAACTCACGTATGAAGGGGTACCTTAGATAGATTTCCTCGATCCAATCTGCCACTGTCTTTGCAGTTTTCTTACGGATGGCTTTTGCTTCAACATAACCAGACATGTTCTCTCTCATGTTTAGTACATATTTCATTCCATCCTTACCAGGTGGCATAGTAATTAGATCAAGGTGAACAGTACTGCCAGGTTCAATAAGAACAGTGGGGTATAGGGGTTCAATCAATCTCATAGATGATCTTTTCTGACAGGCTTCATATGACTTACAATATCTCATAACCATATCCCTTAGACCATCCCAGTGATATAGACGAGATACTTTATAGTATATAGCATCAGCACCCCTATGACCCCCTGCTAGACCCTCATGCAGTGCGGCGATCACCTCTAGTTGCCTTTCCTTACCACACACTACTCTCAGTGGCGGTAGTCCTTCCTTAGCATCCACAAAAAGGTGACCCCTACGCAGCCTAGAGGTTCTCTTTGTTCTCTCATGATAGAATTCGTCCAACTGATTACTGCTCATTACCATACCGACCCTCTTATATTCCCCATCATACTCATCCTTCTTAAATCTCTCCTCTGCGTCCTTATCTTGCTCAGGGTCTTCCGACTCTTCCTCTATCTCATTCAGCCTTCGTTCAACCATCCTTGAATTTTTTGCCAGCTCATGGGCTGCAACAGCGGCTTGTTCTGCCATACCATACCATCCTTCCTCCTCATCCTCTCGAGTTAGGAGGTAGTGGAGGTAAGGGTCTTCCTTTTCTCCCCAGCAGTCTTCCTTGCTTGTTGCTATGGCTGAGGTTGTATAACAACTGGGAGCTGGAGGCAGTCCTTCATCATCGTCTTCCATAAGGAACTCGTCAACGAAGGGCGTCTCCTCAAGAGATTTATCATCTATTGATCCCCATTCTATGCGGCTCAATCCATCGGCTCGATTATTTTCAGTAAGTACGTTTTGTAGTACATAATCATACGTCCATATGTGAGTTATCCACCTACTGACCGTAGCATCTACTTGCTGATGCCTCTTAACAGCTCCGATTACCGCTGTGGAATCCGTTCTTAGAATGAATCTCCGCCCCATAACATAGTGTCTAAACACCCTGAGGCAATGCATGATCGCTAGGAGTTCCTTCCTGAACTGAATATAGCCTCTCTCAACCGAATTAAGGGTGCGACTCTCAAATCTAAGTGGCCTTTCTTTACCATTCTCATTTCGCTGCACGAGCACTCCTCCTAATGCTATCGGACCGCCGTCGGCTTCAATGATGAAGGGCCTCTCCTTTTCATCGTCGAAGTAGGGTACTCCTAATACGACCCCGCCATCTCTTAGCTTGTCTTGAAGTATCCGCGCAGCCTTCTCTCTCTGGTCAGACCACTCTAAGCTAGCTCCTTGTCGCACCATTTCTCTAAGGGGATCGACTATCTTGGCAAACCCGGGGATGAAGATCCGCTAGAAGCTGCAGACCCCTAGGAAGCTCCTTACTTCCCCAATCGTTTTTAGAGGCATAGGCCAATTCAGAAGTTTATCCACTTTCTTCGGATCGGAGCTCCTTCCTTCCAAGAAGCACCTAAAACCCAAGATCGTTACCTCCCTTGGAACAGTAGTGATTTCGGCCCGCTGACTGTTAGGTTGTATTTAGCCAACCTTTCTAGTACTTTCGCTACTCCCTGCGCATGTTCCCATACGAACTGCCTGACTCGACTATCCACTAAAGTCTCATCTTTTTCCTTCGGTCCTTTAACTGGATTGTTGTCAATGTATGGAAACGTAACCTCTGGGCATATGTCCTCCATGACCTTCAGCATATCTCGCTGAACGACCGCGACCCCATTTGTCCACCCTTGAGGCACCACACACATTTGTATGAGGCCTCTAGGTGTATGCATGGCGGTCATAGGTCGATTAGTAGGGTTTATTGAAAATTGGTCATAGCCAGAGTACAAGTCTATTAGGGAGTAGATGCTCCTTCCTGCAAAAGACTCGGCCAACAGATCCGCGTTCGGTAAACTACCCGCATCACGAACCGTTATCGAATTCAACTTTTGCAAGTTCTGTATCCAGCGCAGGCCACCACCTGGCTTCCAAAAACAAAACCAGTGATTGGCGTAAGCTCCATCAGCTGGTTCCGCAACGTTGGAGGCGATCTTTTGGTTTATGTACTCCATTACCTCTTTTTCTTTCTTTTGGGCATATATCGTGGGTCTGTCATTCCAAGGTGTGTGAGGATCGGTCCAGATCTTGACCATCTTGATCATGTCAACGTCCAGTCGTCCCCTCTCCTCATCATTAAAGGAGAAGGCACCATAGTACTTCTGACATAATTCATATATGAAATCCCTCTCAGCCGGCAGAAGGAAGTCATCGGTTCCTACCTTCATTATCTTGAACTTCTCTGGGGTAATTCTCCCTCCTTTTAATGCAGCCTCTCTTAATCTTTTAATTATCTTTCTCTCCTTCTGTAGTGCCTCATTGTAATCTTTCTCTATCAGAACGACCACCGGATTCTTCTTAACGGCTTTGCGCTTATACTTCCTCTTAGATCCGGTGGCTATTTTCCTAAAAAAGGACCAGTCGCAGAGAAGGTGAGTTGCATCGTGCCGGCTTTGGCTGCCCTCACAACATCCTTGAATCCTTCCATCTCTCTCTTATTGCCCAACTCCTTCTCTTTATCCAGGAGCTTGAGCATCTTCCCAATATCATTTACCCTAATCGTTGTCTTCTCGTCTATTATTCCACTTTCTTTCAGTTTTGCTCGTACTTCCTCAATCATCTTGTCAGATTCTCCATGCTTAAGAGAGTTAACATGTCGCTGATGACGAGGATGATGCCTATCACTTATTACAAAAGTTTGTTCTTGACCATTGTTAGGATCCTGGAGAGAAAGTCAGGCTGCCCCATCATGGCCAAAGAACGCACAAGCCTTTATTCTATGTAGGAAAGAGGCTCCGAGAATGCAGTCATGATCCAAGTTGGGGACCACAAAACATAGGATCTCGGCCCGTAAAGTTCCAATCCGAATAGGCAAATCATCAATGAAACCTTCCAAAGGTAAGAATCCGACTATATTGGAGAGTTGGTGGTTGGCTTTCCTATCTATTCCAACTCCACATGTTCTCATTGTGGCCGAGGACATAAGCACCATCTCGGCTCCAGAGTCCACTAGGGCTCTAACCTTCACGTCATTCACAGAGATATTCAAGTATCCACACGACATGTTACCAAACCTCATCTTGGTACCAGGCGGGGCTCTTTCTACATGCTGAGGAAAGAGTCTTAGGCTATTGATTTCTGCCTTCCGCCTTTCAACCATCTTCTTAAGTTCTTCCCTAAACTTAGGTACCAAAGCTACTTCTTCTTTCCAGGATAGGGTGATCTCGGTCTCCTCGAGCAATTTCTTTACTACTTCATCTATCGAGATCCCTTCCTCGACCTCGGATCTCAGGACCACCCTTCTCTTCTTCCCGGCAGCTTCCTTCCCTTTCACTTCCTTCACTAGGTCCTTGGTCCCATCTATTAGCTGGTTTAGCTCTCTTTGAGTCTTCTCTCGCTTTTTTTCTTCGACCTCTTTCTGGCTGATATGGGATACATTCAGACTTAGACTTCCGGGATTGTCGTCTCGAGCCACCATCTTCGGAGGTAGCATACCATCAAAGGTAATAACATTAACTCTAGCCTTCTTCTTTTTATCCTTATTGGCCCTAGCTTGTTCTAGGACAATTGCTCGCATCTCTCCTTTGACTCGGAAATCGATCTTGTTCCAATTGGCATCACAGACGTGCCCATTGACATTCTTCTTGACAATCCCTTCTTCGAGTTCCTTCTCTAGTAAAGGGCACCGAGTTATAGTATGGCCTTCCTCGTCACAATAATAGCATCGGAAGGGGCCATCTCTCCTTTGCCAATCTCGGCTCTTATTATCTTTCTTCCAATCTCGGTCGCTCCTCTTCTTTTGTCTCTCTCTTCTTCTTCGCCTAGCGTCATCATCACTACTTTCATCCTCACTCTCACTATCTTCCTTTTGCTTCTCCTTCTTTCTTCCTTCCTTACCTTCTTTGGCTCCAACAAACGCTTGAGTCGCTGGAGTAGGAAGGGTTAACTTGTCGAAGCTACCAAGCTTAATGAGAAGACCAAGGATCTCTTCGGCCTTCAAATTTCCTCCCTTAGCTACCTCAACATTTCCTTCTCTTGCACTAGTGATTGCTTTCATCTATTCCAGAGACCATTTCCGGTTTCACACCGAAGGTAGTTCACGGACCATCTCAACCACTTCATCCCACTTCAGAGGATAATGAGCAGCGCGGCTTACCACACTCATTTTTTCATCCTCTGCAAAATTAGTTAGCAGGACATGACACTTCTGGGCCTCATCTAGGAAGGGTACTCTTCGCGCAACCCGCTCAAAATCCTCTAGGAATCGATCAAGGGTTGCATATTTTGAACGTCGCACTTCCAACAAATTTTGCATGGTCGTTGGAACGTTATACATATTTTTCCAGCATCTTTTGTCTAACCTCGACCCATGTTGTGAGTCTTTGTGTCGCTTTTGTTACCGACACCCTCATCTTAGGCTCAACATAGGCTAGCAGAGCTTTTAACTTATGTTTGTCCGACCAACCGTGGCTCATACCGAAGACATCATAGTCTTCCAGGAACTCTCTAACCTTGGTTCCATCAAAGCAGGGTATGTTCTCTGGAGGTACCTTAGCTCTTGGAAGGTCTAGTCGAACATTCATAGTGTCCATCCCGGTCTTCATGGTCTCTATCCTCTTCAACATTTCTTGTAGAACAGTGGTAATGGTCACTTCTCCGTCACCTGCGGAGGAACTAGCAAGATTCTACCTTGCGTCCGGTCCCCTGACCATCTTGTCTAATTTACTGGTTAAACTCCTACTTCTTCCTGAACCTTTTCTCTCTTATGATTGCGTTTAGAATTGGTTCCCAGTTTCTGTCGTCGGTAAAACTTTCTAACAAAACTGGTTCGAGGAACATGTCAAACACAATCGGAGCTAGGTTACTCACTACTCTTGCTTCTTTTCTTTCTAACTCTCTCTTTTCTTGATCAACTGTATTGCTAATCCAACTTCGAAAAGATTCGCGATCTGTCCCTCTCTCTCTTAATGAGGGAACATAGGGTCGAATATCGTACTTACTAGTGTGGATATACGCCTTCCCAGGAGCGTGTTTCTCCTCCAGGGATATACAACGTTCTATCTTGTACGGGAAAACTCCTCCACTGGTAAAAGGAACTATGGCGTCTAGTGCTGCCGTGACTGCCGAACAGTAACCAGACATTGCCTAGTCCCTAGCGACCCCCATGATCCATCTAATCCTATCCAGTGCCTGAATCGTCAATGTTGACACTACTCCACTTCCTATCTCTTAAAACCGCATTAAGAATAGGCTCCCAGTCCTCACGATTGACGAAGCTATTTGGGATAGGAGGACTTGGAAAACCCTCGTACTCAGTAGGCCCCACACTCCAAGTAACTTTCTTACCTTCCTTCTTGAGTTCGTCTCTGTATTTACAGACGTGACTAAGTGCCCACTCGTGACACCTAGTATACCGCCGACAAATCTTCCTAGTCACTGGAGTGTATATACGCACGTCATATTCATTGGTCTCTAGGAAGCGAGTTACTAACACATACCTTTTCTTTTGCCTCAGGTATGGCTAAGACAGTGTATCTCTCAATCTTATAAGGAAACGCCCCTCCTACCGTGAGGGGTTCCAAATCCCGGAGTAGGCGCGAGATGACCGAAGAATTAATATTTGGTAACACCCTTCCTTCAGCCTCCTCCCAAATATGCCTGCTTCCTAGGAAACCAGCATACCCCTCAGCCATAACAAACTCTTTTCCATTGTCAGATGAAGAAGAATTCATGAGAAGCCTCGTCTTGAACTTCGAATCGTCGAACGAAGGTATCGGAAAACAGAATCTTCGGTCGCATGACTAAGTCATTCTCTCTTGCCTTACCAACCACGACAATAGCTTCTAGAAGAGGCGCCCAGTCTCTCAGGTCAGCGAAACTATCCGTAATCAGAAAACTAGGGAGTCTCTCGAATTGCCTGACTCGTTTCCCCCAAGTCACTTTCTCATCCAAGCTTCAAAGTAGCTCCCTTACTCTTGAGAGATGAATGTGCATTCTCCTCGGGCACTCTAAATAACCTTCTTCCTCTTTTATTCCTTCCTGGGCATAAACCCTCACGTCAAGCTCATTAGTCTTGAGAAATCTGACCACTGGAACATAGAATACTAAACGCCCTTCCTTACAGATGTCGTATCTCAATATCTCGAACGGGCTATCAGTCTCAGTTACTTTATCTAACCATCCTCTACCAATGGTCACAGTCGCAATTGACGTAGAGTTTTCACACTCCAATATCATTGCCTCAGGCTGCTTCTAGCACCTCTAGCCAGACTGTCCGCAGGATGTTGTCTAGATAGGATGGTCTCATCTCTAGCATGTAGCATCACTCTCCTGCCATCCGAACTCTTGCAATCCAGCAAATGCCTAATCTTAGTCTGATCCGTAATTGCTTTAAAAGCAGCCTCCCGCATAAGCTCAAGGTAGTGCTCTACCATGCTAATCTCATTGCGCCTACCTAGCCTAGTGTCGCATCCTCTCACGGTCCCGATGACAGTTGCTCGTTGCTCATCTAGATAGAGCTCGA